CTCACTTGACGGTGAGTCAATTCTAGACAAAGCTACGGACAGGCCATCCGGAGTGAACCCTTTTTAACCCAGAGCATCTTTTGACAAGCTGTCAAAAACCTGCTACATGCTGAAGCTGACACAGCAAACGGTTCCTGCAGAACAAAGCTGATACAGTTCCGACCCCATAAGAGTCCTTCTAGATGCAAACTAGTTCCAACCTGTGTGCCTGGCAACATCTCTGGACTGGAGAAGTCAGTACCGCGGTCAATCTACTGGACCTGGGTGCCCAGAGGTCATCCGGCCTCCCTGACCTCCTGATCTGCGGAGAGGGTCTCCAAAAAGGGTGAGGTAGAACACAATGACTACGTTTACATGCAGCCAATATCCGGGTTATGATCGGGTTTCTGAGTTGATCAGAATAACCCGTTTACAAGCATAAATAGAAAGAGTTACCTCTAACTTGCATAACCCGATTTAAATGCGGACGTTGGGGTAGCGTCAGGACGTGTGGACTACGTCCAGACGCAATATGCGTCATTTCCGGTTCTTCTTGTTCTGGTATCCGTGAAAACAACAACATGTTTCCCAGTTCGGAAGAGATAGCGACCGCGTTTGTTTGCGCTTTATAATAATAATAATAATAATACATTTTATTTAAAAGCGCCTTTCAGGACACCCAAGGTCACTTTACACAAAACACGTAATAAAATACAATAAAACAATAATAAAACCCAAAGAAGAAAAAAACAGAGAGAAACATTTCAATAAAATCAGAGGTTGTAGGCAGATTTAAACATGTGTGTTTTGAGTTTTGTTTTGAAAAGGGCAAAACTGTCGACGTTCCTGATGTCTGGGGGAAGTGAGTTCCAGAGTCGAGGAGCAGAGCGGCTGAAAGCTCTGCTCCCCATGGTAGCGAGACGGGCAGAAGGAACCGCAAGATGGATGGAAGAAGATCTGAGTGAACGGGACGGGGTGTGAATACTTATAAGGTCTGAGATATATGGAGGAGAGAGGTTGTGGATTGCTTTGAAGGTATGGAGGGGAATTTTGAAGATGGACCTGAATTTAACTGGGAGCCAGTGAAGCTGCTGGAGAACCGGCGTGATGTGGTGAAAGGAAGGGGTTCTGGTGATAATACGGGCTGCTGAATTCTGGACCAGTTGCAGTTTATGAAGGAGTTTGTTGGGAAGACCATAAAGAAGTGAATTGCAATAGTCGATAAATGCCAGGGCCTTTAGTTTCCTCGTCACTCAAAGTGTGGTGCTGTGCCGCGACTCGCCATTTTTCTCCCAACTTGTAGTTTACTTCCGGTGTTCTGGCGCATACAAGACGTCTCGCTACTCAAAAGACCAAGATTCCTTGCGAACAGAGCATGCGCAGAACACACGCTTTGATGGGGATATCCCGATATGCGTTTACACAACCAAACATTCGGGTTAGAAAAGGGTTACCCCAGGTGTAGTAACCGGGTTTTTAAAAACCCGGTTATGAGCATATCCGGGTTTTTGGCGGTGTTTACAAGGACCTGCGGAACCGGGTTATTGTGAACATTCGGGTTTTAAAAGGGTTACTGGCTGCATGTAAACGCACTGAGTATTATTGCGTCTGATGCCCTTTTGATAAGAATCAACTTCATAGTTTAATACAAACCAAATTCTTCTTCACACCCAGAACTCAGTTCTTCTAGATACAAGGTTCTGATAAACACACACCATTAAATCACCATACGTCACATCCCATCCTCTTAGATTCATCCATCACAGTAGCCTTGGTTAACTTGTCATGTTTTTATTTGTTAAGAAAATGAATTTCTTGTCTTTTATAAACCTGACTCTGTCTGAATTGAGACGAAGTGTGTTTGATCCCTGAAAAAGCAAAGAATCCTAGAATCTTCTGATTAAACATCCAAAGACCAAGCAGGTTGATATTCCATATTTATATAGAGTATCGCAGCTTATTGATCATATGTAAAGGTAATATATTAAGCTTAAAAGCAACAATATTTACCCCTCTACATCAACTTTGGACTATTCAGACTTGGGCTTTTCTTTGAGTCAAGCGTAGATAGAGGCACTTAAAGCTACAATGGCTAATTTAGAAAACAAATTGGATTTTAAAAATGTTCATGCCTCTTACCGTTCTAACATGATACATAAATATATAGTGTAGATTTAAAAAATGAAGAAAATTGATAAGGGTGGTTCTTTTGCATTTGTCCAAAAACTGACCGAAAGCAAATATTGGCGAAGGTTTTCAGTCCCTGGGTCTTTGATTCGCAAACAGTCGCGTATTTCGCAATAGACACCTGCTGGTGTGAGAGGTTCGCGGCTCAATAATATCAGAGAAGTAGAAACAGCTGGCTGCTACCACTTCAACTTTAGGACAAACTATCAGAGTCCTAGAATGAAAAAACACCATTTGAAGTCACGAACAACAAGAGAAGTTTGGACCTAGAAAATGATGACTGGGATTTAGCACTATTCAGGGGTGGACTGGCCTATCTGGCATTCTGGCACTATTCCGATGGGCCACTTAGCCAAGTGGGCTGCTTGCCCAGCTTGGGCCAAAACTAGTCCACAGTTGGTGATTTGCAGAACATTAGCTACATGGTAACCCGAAGCTAACAGAGTTTTTCCAGGCATTTTTAGCAAGAAAAACACGGTAGAGCGATGATGTAGGAGTTGTTTTACCGTGTTAGCATGTAGCTAATGTCCCGCTTATCTCAGCCCATGGAGAATGAGCTTATCTGGAAGGCCAGGGCTCCCGGTCGCAGCGGTCTGGCCCTGCTTGTAATTTAACTGTCCCAGTCCATAATTAGATCTCACATTCGGCCTAGAGACGATTCCGCGGGCGGCAACACCCCCCACCCCCACCGCTCTCCCAATGGGGAGGGCCGACTGAGGGCCGACGATTCGTTAAAATGCCAGGGCCAAGTTTTGGTCCCAGTCCACCCCTGGCACTATTCCACTTCCTCTGGCATCGCGGGTTTCTGGTTCCGGTAGAAACGTCACAGGTGAGTGTTCCGTAACCATGCTTGCTTTCAAAGCCTAGCTTGTTTTTTGAATTTACCAAAGCAGCAAGTCTTTTCTTTAGGAAAAGGATGTATTCGCGTCTTCTTCGACTGTGTGTGGTGAACTGCCCCGTTGACTGACATCTGTAGTGTTGAGAACGTCTTGTTGTTCCAGTAGCACGCAGAGACAGTTTGAAGGATAACTGTGTTCTACACCATGTCTGTTTTAGGGGTAGATGGTAGTTTGTCCAAGGAGTCCAGGACAAAAAAAACACAGCAAGGTCTTGCTTGTGATCTGCAAATGTATTACTTCTGCAAGACTGAAGGAAGCACAACTCTTTTGGTGCCTTTCTTCATTCTTCTTTAGGGTAAAAAAATAAAATTTATGTGTTGTCTGCACAAATAACACAAGCCCGAACATGTCCCGCCTTGCTGTGGAGTTTGTGATGGTTAGCTTCTACTGGCCAAGACGTGCTCTGTTCTTCTGGCCGCAAAAGCCAACACAGCCTTATGTAGGCCTTATGCTGTGTCATAATACGCCTTGGGAAGGGTTCTAAAATTCAAATTGGAACATTTATTGCCTCAAATTGATAAAACAATTTAAGGATAATCGGAACCTTCTGAGTAAGCAACAGTTAATTTTGCATGACATGATCTCCTTTCCCCTTTTCTCTCTCGCTCCTTCACACACGCACACACACGTGCACGGACGCATACACATTATAATGTGCAAAACATGGTTATTACTTTAATTTGTATGTCGTGGTAACGCCACCTACTGATGGAACTGATTATTGCGCTTCAAGATTTGGGCAGATTAAAACACAAAGAGGCTCAAAACTCAAACAGAAAAATAAACTAATGTCAAAATAAAATGTGAATAGGGGCAAAAAAAACATTATGTATTGTAGTTGCTCTTAAAAGTGTACCAAATTTATGTGAGTGTATCTAATCTGTAAATTTATATAACTGACTTTATCTGCAAAACTGCTTATTTGGAGATGGGGAATAAATGACAGTTTTAGTTTTGTAGTCATTTTGTTCATTTGATACTTAAAATGAACAAAGGCAGGACATCTTTTGACACACGGCACCTTCAAGATTTATTTTCATCAGCTGCCACTGTTGATAGCTCAAAATAATTGCATGTGCAAACTAACTTTTGATATAATGATGCAGAAGATTTTTTTCCTCTTCGAATGGCACTTGCAAACATCTTTGCAGTTTAAAGACCTTTTTTATTATCATTACTGTCTCAGAAACAGCACTAAAGGAAAATACCCCCAGCTCCCCTAAAAGGTGTCTAACTTCTGGAAAGGTTTGGAGACACTTTGCTATTTATTTTGAATCAGTTGGTGTTTCTAAACTTTGACCTTTGGCTAAATCAGGAACATAGAGCAATAAATAAATTTGGATATATAAATCAGAGCATTCAATTGCAGCATAATTATGCAACACACCTAAAGAGAAAAATCAATTAACCAAATGGAAAAAATTTGTTTTTTTTATATTTTATGTGATTTAACAGATAGTGGACATACGGTATCATATTTTATTTACATCAACAAAACAATTACTATAAGCTACATTTATGACACTGTTGTAACTAAAGAGTTACAAAAGTAGCTTGATATTTCATAAAGGAAACGTTTGGTTCACCTGTTGATAGAATAAAACATGTTCAAAACACGATATAATTTCTCCCTCAGTTCAGATTTTTTTCTGTTACATAGACAAAGTCCAACTCTTTTTCTTCGTCTCTTGTATTATTGCGCTTTATTCTCTGGTTGGCGAGTTAATCACTCTTCTTAGGAACGGTTTACTTTTTTCATCTGCCTGGTGAGCGCGTCCATTCTTCCGCGGGGGTGTCCTACATCCCTCTTCCCTTTAAAAGCACCAATTAATTGTATTTTCGCATCACATCGTAGCGCCTTTTAAACATGCATAATAACAGATCATTACCACGTCTCGGGTGAACGATGAGCTCTACTAGACTGCTTTTGCGTAC